TTTTTACAAAGCAGGAATTTGGACTTTAGATAAGACAGCTTAGATAGAGTATGCATAAGATAATACATCAAAGGAAACTTGAATAGACTTAAGGCGCGGACAGACGGTGTAACATTGCACGCAACAAATTTGAATCAGGGTGACACACGTTACAGTAAAATCATGCAACATTCTTTTGTCAGCCTGCTATGCTATGAAATTTGGTCAGCGGTTATGAATTTTGGTGCAAGCTGATTGGCTGGAAATTTTAAGATGTTGCACGCAATGTTGCAGTCATGTTCAGCCATGTTTAATGAAATTTGTTGCGCGCAATGTTGCAAGAGTAGAGCGCAATTCAACTTCAGGTTTGTTGCATGCAACATTGCATGCAACAAGTTTCAGGGTGAGACCACACACGATGCAACAGTCTTGTTGCGTGCAATGTTGCACCGTGTATCTGTACCTTTATTTACCCTGTACTCAAGGATTTCAAATTTCTTTGTTTGAAGTGCCTATAACCCTTCTAACAATATTCTCAGTATTGATTCTACATTTGGTAAGCCATTGAATAACTTAAACAATTTGAAAGTTTGAGTGGGGCTTCTTGAAGTTAAGGTTTTTCCATGCCATATGTAATGACTGTACAACAATATATTTGATGCAACTCAAAGAGTGTTTTTTTCTCAAGGGAATGAYACGCGGTCTGAAAGGGGAAAGATGTCGCCCAAGCGAAAGAGGTACATTACCAATCGCGTTTCATACGAGAATAAGTGCACCAACCTATTTGCAGTATTCCACTCGACTTCAGAACCACTTCATAGTACCAGCCCAGTGGGTGAGGACTAGATGGGTAGCGTGATCGTCCAACACACACCGTGGCTCGAACGCTTTCAAACGTCCAGTTCATGTTGTAAGCCTCGAGCTTGTCTGTACCTAATACAACAGCTGGGGTCTTAAGGCGTTCGTCCAGTTCTACCACATTTTCTGAAATGTAACAACTAAGAAAATGAATGGATGGATGGATGGGAAACGGTAAATTAAAGATCGATGACAGCATACTCTGACCCAAAATGGGAGAACATACATAGCACTCAATTGATGTAATGTATTTAGAAAATCAATTGTATTCTATTGTCGTTCTATTGTATTAGGTGTGATTCATTGTATTTTTATGAATACATTGCATCAACTGCTTGCTACGTAGGTTCTCTCGACCCAACATAGGAAGGCATACGCTGCCTTTCACCGCTGTGTAGTTCGTGCTTGGTGTCCTGGCGCCGGTTCGATTCCCGACTGAAACGAATACGTGAATTCATATTACGTGTTACCAGTCTTTTCACTGCTACGCGCTGATCGAGACAACAGTCGCAACAGCGAAATAGATCATTACATTGCCACCAATCAGAGAATATGAAGGTACCGACCAATTTATTTGATTGACGGAAGTGTATTGCCCAATTACCCTATCGCGACTGTTGTCTCGATCAGCGCGTAGCAATGAAAAGAGTGGCAATGCTCTCTCTCTTGCCACAATGGTCTTTCCCCAGGTTTTCGTTCCTTTCCGTGCAAATGTCAATGAGTGTTGTATGTTAACTTTGTATTATTGTACTCACCTAGGTTGTCCTTTTCTGAAGAAACTATACAAGAAATATTGTTCAGTAGAGTTTCCACAGGCAGCCCAATCTGAGAGAGCGTTGATTCATTACTGGTCAGCAGTGTGCACCATAAAGTATGTAAGGTTCCAGATTGAAAAAGGGACTCTCTGCACTCGTCCACTCCAGTGAACAAACTCATACAGTTGTACACTGTGGTGATAGCCAAACGAACAAACGAGGAGAACGCATCTTCAAAGTCTTCAGGAGTGGAGCTGCTTTCCGAGTGAGTTACTGGAGAAGCTGATTTCTTGCCCTCGTCAAACGATACGTCTCCTGGTCAAACAACATCGAATCAATCTTACTTAACGTTAGATAATTTTTTATGCCCACGAATTTTGGTTTTTAAGACCTTCCACTTGTAAATTTGATGGATGGCATGCTGCATATCCCGAAAAAAAATTCGGGTTGCAAAAACATGAAAACGCTCAAAGACAATCTGCTAAAGCCAATTAGTTAAATTTGGGGCTTGAATATAGAATTTCGCGCGCTTTGATTGGTCGACAGACAAGTGATTATGAGACGATAATCACTGGCCGAGTTTTGATTTCCAGGGTTTGCCAAAGTTTTCAAGGAAGAAGTAATACAATCTAGTATCCAGAGCCTTTATTTCTTACTGCGTATGCTCGGCAAAATAAATATTTTTTATTCATTTCGTCGAGCATGCGCAGTAAGAAATAAAGGCTCCTACTCACCAAGATGCTGCGCATGCGATTTGCTTTCAGAAGAAACTGCAATGTTCAGAAAAGATGCTTTCGAAGGCTGTTCTTCAAAGACTTCTGTGTCATGAGCGAGTTTTGCAGAATGCTGGGGAGATAATACCTGAAAAAAACCCAACATGTTAAAAATGATTGGATGTCGAAGGTGATTCGGAATAAAAACTTCGACACTTTCAAGATAATAGTTTTAACTGTGTCAATACGTTTTAGGTAAATTAATTTTTTTTGAAGCAGGTTATTTTGGTAAACAATTGCTTTCTTTTGTTTTTGTTGGTTTTTGCTGTTTGTTTTTAATGAATGCAAATCCCTCTTTTACTTTGAAAGGACAGAAAGAGGGAATAGGAGAGGAGAGGAAAAGAAAAGCCGAAACGACGGCAAAGGAAACGAACGAAAGGCAATCCAAGAAAAGGCAAGAAAAAAGCAAGAAAGAAAACTAAAGGAAACAAAACAAAGAAAAGAAAGGGAAAGAAAAATTTGAAAGCAAAGGAAACGAAACGACTCAAAAACGAAACGAAACGAAACGAAAGGAGAAACATTTTGCGTAGAATAAAGTATTATGAATATTACTTATGTCACCTGTTCAGCGGCTTGGTTGACCTTGTTTAAGAAGCTACCATTAACAAAATACAGCAAAGACAGAACAGCACCAAGGACACCAGAACTGAGAAGTTCATCGTGAAACACTTCAGATATACTGATGCCACTAATGATCTTCAATGCGCCGATACTGTGAGCTAAAAACATGGGATGCTCACGGAGGTATTCATTGGATGAACTGGCCACGTTCCAGATTAGCTCAGCGAGATACTCTAGAAACCCCTCTACACCCACCATCACTGCAATATCAATGGCTATAGTTAGATGACAATCACATTTTACTTGTTCTGTAGCAACCAATATACTTCAATTATCCCAACGAAATAATTGTGTTTCGATGTTCGATCGATTTTCTCTTTGAACGTTCTTGTTGTTTTTGTGTGTGTGTGTGTTTAGTTTGTTTTTTGTTTTTTCGTTT